ACGTTAGGTCACTGGAGGAGGTTCTAGGGGACTTCAGAAGCAGTGATTTTTACTCCCATTACTTCCTTGTTCCCAAGGCGAAGGGGGGATGTCTCAGGCCCATCCTGGACCTCACAGAGCTCAACAAGTTCATAGCCACTCATAAGTTTTGTATGGTCTCATTGAACTCCATTATTCCTTCCCTGGATCCAGGAGATTTGGTACACCGCCCTCAGCTTAAAGGACAAATACTTCCATGTCTCAATCAAACCATCTCACAGTCACTGCCTCTGTTTCCTAGTGGGCAACAACCACTTCCAGTTTACAGCCCTCCCCATTGGGCTTTCTACACCAAATGTATGATGGTGGTAGCAACTTTCTTCAGGTGCCATGGTATTCAAATATATCCTCACCTGGATGACGTGCTCTTGTGGGGCCACTCAGATTGTCTTCACTTGGGACACTCTGCTCAGACTGGGTCTGCATCTCAGTCCTGACAAGTTGACCTTTGTGCACATGCAGCAGATCAACTTCATGGGGGTGGTGCTTGAGGCCACCAAAGCTTGGGTGTTTCGGCCAGAATGGCATTTCAAGGCACTGACCCTGTTCTTGTGATTGCTTACTGATTTTCTGGTGACCACAATCCAGACATGCCTCCAATCTATGGGTCACATGGTGGCATGTATGTACATACTCCTGTTTGTCAGGTTCCACCTCCATTTCCTCCAGTGTTGGCTAGCGTAGACTTATCAGCCAGGGTAAGTACCACCACTTGGACATGGTGGTAATGGTGCTCTTTCATGTGATTCACACTCTCCATTGATGGTTGGATTCTTGTTCAGTGATGGCTGGTGTAGTTTCTCATGCTACAACCCATGCACTTCTTTGTCACAGACATGTCTGTGTTGGGTTGGGGGATTCACCTTGGGGATCCCATCACACAGGCGAGGTGAATAGCGGATGGACTGAGGCTCCACATCAATGTTCGCAAACTCAGGGCAGTCCACCTCATGTGTCTTGCATTTCTGCCACATCTTTGGAGTTGGTGTGTGGCAGTCAAGACAGACAACATGTTGTTACATCAACAAACAGGGCAGAGCCAGGTTGTCTTCCCTGGACCAGGAAGGCTTTCGTTTATGGGAATTGTGCATAGTCCATTCTATTCACCCGGAGGCTTTGTACATTTCGGGGGCTCAGAATTTGCAGGAGGATAATTTCAGCTGTTGTTTCTTCACCTATGAATGGTCCATCAGGCTGGATATACTCCACACAGTTTTCTGTACATATTTACTGTACGTATTTCCCCTGTTACTGCTGGTCCACAAGGTGATTGTCAAGCTCCGCAGAGACAGGGTGAATGTTATCCTGATAGCTCCAGCATGGGCTCATCAGCACTGGTACCCCACTCTCTTGGAGCTGTCGGTACAACAGCCGATTCCGCTTTCTCTGCTCCTGGACCTCATCATGCAGGACCATGGGCATCTTAGATACCCAGACTTCTGCTTCTTTCATCTCACGGTGTTGCAGCTTTGTGGCTAAACCAAGCTGAGCTGGCCTGCTCAGAACAAGTTCAACAGGTCCTCCTTAGTGGCAGGAAGCCCTCTACCAGGCTCATTTACTCTGCCAAATGGAAGTGTTTTTTGTGTGGGTGCCTGCAGCGCAATGTGGACCCTCTATGTGCCTCTATTCCTCACATTCTGGAGTACCTGGTGTCTTTGAAGCAGCAAGACTTAGTGACTTTGTCACTCAGGGTGAACCTGGTGGCCATCTCTGCTTTCCATCCAGGAGAGGCTGGCCACTCTGTGTTCTTGAGTCCCCTTGCTGGGTTGTTCCTCAAGGGTATGGACAGACTTCATCCTCCAGTTAGGTGCCCTATTCCTGTTTGGCACCGTAATCTGGTTCTTTCAATGCTCATGGGTCTTACCTTTGAGCCTCTGGACACGTGATCCCTGCTTTACCTTTCTGGTTGCAATTACCTCTGCTTAGCAGGCATCGGAGCTTCTCACCCTGGTGTCAGAACCCCCATATACTGTCTTCCACAAGGACAAGGTTCAGCTTTGCTCTCACCTGGCCTTCCTCCCAAAAGTAGTCTCCAGTTTCCACACCAGGCAAGTCATTTTTCTCCTCATGTTCTACCATAAGCCTCACAAGAACAAAGACTGCACTTCATTGATGTAACTCATGCACTTGCTTTCTACATCGGTTGGTCCAAGCCCTTTCACAAGACCTCAGAGCTGTTTGTGGTGGTGGTAGATCATGAGAAGGGATTATCTATCTCCTCGCAGAGCATCTCTTCTTGGATCACTGTGTGTATCTGGGCATGTTATTGTCTGGCTAAGGCAATGGTTCTCAAACTTTTTGGCCCGCAGCCCACCCCGCTCAATGCAAACCTTTTTGCAGACCACTAGCCAAACACACGTGATGACATAATGGGGTTCGGCGCATGTGTGGGGACTGGGGGGAAGTAGGATGCAGGCAAAGGGGGCAATTCCTCTGGGCTGCCACCATTTAAAGGGTCCTGGACTTCCTTTGAACTGCTGCAGGAGTGCTGGAGTGCCACTCTGCACAGCTTTGTGGGCTGGGTGGGCGCATAGCGCCGCGGTCCAGACATCGCTAAGAACTGCCTGCCCTCAATCCCACCTTTTCCAGGGGTGCAGAGCCACCCCCACCTTGCCCCAGGGTCTGTGGTGGCTGTTGGCCCCACTGGGTTCAGGAACAGGCTGAGGGTGCGGGTTCTGGGTGGGAGACTGAGTGCAGGAGCAGGATGGGGTGGGTTGAGGGAGAGAAGATATGGAGCAGGCTGAGGGTCGAAGGGTCTCAGCAAGAGGGCCGTGTGAGAGCACAACTCCAAAATCAAGACCACCCTCCTAAAGTCATGTTTGGTAGGAAAGTTTGTTTTACTGGCAGTTACATCTCAGGACTGTAAACCAGCATGCATTTTTAGACAGTATGTCTTCAATGTATGGGACTCTATGCTAAAATGTAAAAATATGCTCCAGAAAATGCTAGGCAAGAGTTACTGGTTGCAGTTATCTGGACTCTCATGGGAAGTTCAACGGACTGTGCAGGATCTGCTCTTTTTTTTTTTTTTTTTAAAGTAGACTGATGCTAAGTTCCATGGATTAAACCAGTGATTCTCAACCCGTGGTTTGCAGTGTCCGGGGGTGAGGAGGTGTGTCTTGGGTTGGGCTTCAGGGTCTGCAAGCAGCTAGCATTAGGGAGTAGGAAGCAAGAGAGTTGCCTGGGTCCCCACTCTGAGATTAAGGTAGGGGTTTGCAATTTTTCTAGTAGGGGGGTCATGATTTTTTAAGTCCAAAGGGGGCTGCCAGCATAAAAAGGTTGAGAAACACTGAGTTAAAGGACACTTTCAGGAAGCACTTCAGGTCCTCCAGCAGTCTGCTTCAGCTTTCCAGCAGGAAGTGCAGAGAAAGGAGGGTAGAGGTTATATGCTTAGATCACCTCGTCTTATATCTCTGCATCAATGCCTGCCCCACCCCTCACAGATATCCAAAGGGTCTGTTTTTTAGCTCTGTGTCAGCTCAACATCTGTCTCAAAAAGATCCTTAATGACTGGCTAGTCAAGGGCTGGTCCAGAAATCAGGTTACATCCAGTATTCAACTCATTTAGTCAGCCTTCTAGGCCTATAAGTGGAATTGGTGGAGAAAGTACTGTGAGCAGTAGTAAAAATTTAAAGGTGATATTTCCTAAATTGTGGTTGTCTTATTTTTAACAATTAAGCAAGGGTCATTGCACATAGGGGACCTGCAATTGCCCCCACGGTCTGCCGATTCAAAAGGGTCTGGGGCTTCCAGCTGCTGTTGGCCAGAGCCGTGTTCCCTTTACATTGTCACGGGAGTACCGCACCGGGTGGCTCTCAGGGCTGCCTGGTGGGGCCTGCAGTGCAGCATGCTTGAAGCAGCACAGAAGGCAGGCTGTCCCCGGCCCTGCTGCTTCTGCCCAAGGACTCATCCCTTCTGGAGCAGGGAGCTGAACCCTCCATTCCTTTGTTCAGGGGATCAGCAAATATGTTGGTTCCCCTGAGTGCTGCCATCGAGGGCTCTGTCTTTGGCCCCTTAGGCAATGGAGTTGAGTCTTTGACCCCATACCCAAGGAAGTCTAACACCAGCCCTGGTGACCTCTTTAAAACAAGGTTGTGACCCTGTTTGAGGTCCCAACCCACAGTTTGAGAACCATTGCAATAGAGAATGCTAGGCTGGTTCTGTGCAGAGATCCAAGGAATTTATAAGTGTATGTATATTCAAAATATATATTCCTGAAGACAAAAAAGGGGATATTTTCACTGTACATTAGTATGTGGATTTTTTTTTTTCATTTAGGTGTTTTAGAATATAAGAAATGAATATATTGGATATTCTGTGGGGTTCTTTCTTTGACCATCTCTTCACTAGAAAATTTTATTATGTTAAAAGCTTTTAACTCACATAATGGCTAAACACTATGTAAAATCAGGGGGAGGCCAATAATTTTTGCAGGGGGACAACTTCACAAATTTTAGTAGTGGTTGCGGTGCGGGCTGGCTCTGCCCCCTGCAAAAGATAGGCCCTCGGGCAGAAGGGGCAGTTCCCTCTAGGTGTCACGTGCCCCTGGTGGTGGGAGAAGACTTCAAGTGCTCCTCTGCCCCCAGGCCAATTGAAACCTGGGGGCAGGGGAGTGGCGGGGAGGCTGCGGGCCAAACCAAATGGCTTGGTAGGCCAGATCCCACCCCCGGGCCATATCTTGTCTACCCTTGATGTAAAACCTAGTGTAGATGGGGGACATGGTGGTTTAGTTACAGTAGTTAACCTTAGGGTCCTCTTATGGTACCACAATAAACTAACACATTTTTAAACATGACTGCCCTTGTCCAAATTAAGGGTGAAATCATGTTTAACATCATGTTTGTTTAAAAATGGTAGTAACGTAATTTAGTTTCCTACTAGGAGAACAATGCATAGAAATATTAATTATTTTTGTTTCCTTTGTCTTTTTTGTCTCCTCTATATACTTCTTTTTAATGCAGTTGAGAAAGATAGGAGGTGGGGGGTTTGGAGAAATATATGATGCTCTGGACTTGCTCACCCGGGAAAACGTTGCACTAAAGGTTGAGTCAGCACAGCAACCGAAGCAAGTCCTGAAAATGGAAGTGGCTGTGTTGAAGAAACTGCAAGGTAAGGTGGTTTCATTGGTATACCAAAAAGCTAGTGTATGGTAGATGGCTAAGAGAGACAACTGCATTCCTTGTCACTGTGTTCCATATTCTTCCATCTTTTCCTTATTATGTAAGTAGTAACATTGAAATTAATGGGGCTAGTCAAGGTAAGGGTGCTTCTGGCCTCTTGTGAATATTGATTATTAGCAATGGTGAGCAGAGACTTGGCATACTGAAAGTTAATGATTTTCCTGCCCATTTTATGGAAGCTTATGATGGAACTACTCTTATGATCTGAATAGGATAAGAGAAAATTTAGCAGAATGGTTCAATTGTTTTTAAAGTCAGAAGTTCTCAATTTTAGCTTCTTTTTGGATCCTGTTTTTCCTTATTTTTGTTAGACACTTTTCCCTAGGGTTGCATTTTTGTGTGCATGTAGTGGCGGTGATTTCTCTCCCTCCTCCCCCCTGTGTTGGTTTTTAACTTTTCCTTTAGTCTGCCTCTCTGGTGAAGGGCCTCCAGCTGACATCCAGGACAGAAATACTTTATATCAGTATTTAGGGTTATCATGTTTGAACTTTCAAAAAAGGGGACACTCCTGAGAGGGAGTGTATCCAACTCATATTGTATTAATGTGTTATGTTGTATTAATGTGTTATATGTAGTAACACACATTCATACAATGTGAGTTGGTAGATACTTATGCAGATACACACTCTGTCAGGAATGTCCTCTTCTTTGGAAGTTCAAATATGGTAACTCTACCAGTATTTCATAGTTTCTGTCTTCTCAAAGGGAAGGTTTCAGTGGATTTTGGAATACTAACATGCAATGACTTTTGAGAATATAGACTTCCTCTAAGTCAGGAGTGGGGAACCTTTTATGGTTTGGGGGCCACTGACCACATAAAAATCAGTCGGGGGCCACACACAAGTGAGAAGCAAAACAAAACCCATAAATCTTCACTGACATGGCCCGTGACTGAGCGAGAGAAAGGCACTCCCTGCATTCTCCTTGTACACCAGAGCCTAGTGGGGCCCACGCTAGTAGATTTTGTGTGCTCCAGCCCCATGGGGAGTGCAATTCTATGTGAACCAGGACATTTTTCTTCCCGTATTCTTTCCTAAGCTGCATATTAGCAAGGGAATGAATGCTCCAGTCCCTGGATGTCAGATGAGCATTAGCCTTCCACGTTGAAAGAATGGAGCCATTTTGAAGGAACTGAATTATTGGCAGGGACCTATATACGCTGCTGTGAAAGGTGCAACTCCAATGGGCTTTACAGCTGACCCAATGGGCACTGCAAGGAAAAAATCTTCTGACAACTGCACACAGTGCACGCACACCTTTTTGGAATGGACATGAGCAATACATCTCAAAGAATGAACGTTCTGAGATTTTTTCCATTGATGTTAGCATTACTATAAAAATGCCTAAATTCGGTGCTGAACCTGGGTCTTAAATGAGTTTTTGAAAGGTTTACTAGAGAACAATCTGTTTTTACTATAGTTTGTTTTAATATAAACGAATACATCTACATTTAGAAACCAGTTCTGGGCTCAAAGACTTAGTTCAGTAGTTTTCAAACATACATTAATAAATAATACTTCACAAGAAAGTCCCATCTAATTGCTGGAAAATAGAAAAAAATCTGGAATTATTTATTAAATGTAACATTTTAAATAATATTTAATATTATTTATTAAAAGAATAGGTCCCTTAAAAGCAATATGCCTGAAATGTTTTAATCTGCATATTGTTTAATCGTAAATGATGGAAGAACAAAATGAATGATTCAATGCTTCAGTCCTTTTTCCACTTGACTTTTGATGCAAATAGCATATTATATACACAATACAGAACATTTCTTAAATCAGAGATAAAAATACTCCAAATTATGGGGACACATATTTGAGATACTGAGGCAGACTAATTAAAGGAAAAACAGTGGGCTAATATAATTTCCAGTTTTAATCACATACAATTAAGAATGATTCTGTATAAATTTCTTCAAAGGTACATTAAAACCCCAAAACATACTGCTTATAAATGTGAGGAAAATTTTTTTGACTGGTGCTAAGTCTCAAGAGATTCATTAATATATGTTTTTTGAAAATGCATAGTAATATAACTATTTTGGATAAAAATGACTGATATGAACATGATTTATGTGACTGACCAAACGCTGGTTCATTTCCTGTGAATCTTCAGACCCCAAAAAGAGGACATATTGCTAGGCAAATATTTTATAGGGAACCCTCAAAATGTTTTTGGACAAAGATCAAAAAACGAATTTCCTTAGATATAGCGTATTAAATAGCTTGTGATACTGAATTCAGTTCACAGGAAGTGAGGCTATATTTCTTTATGGTCATGGAATACAAGTAACTCTCTAGACATACTGGTGGTTTGTATATAACTGTGGTGTATATCAGTAGCTTATCTATAAGTCACAACAGTAAAATATATCCAAATCTTTTTATATTTTGGCATTTGTCTGACCAGGGTACTGGTATAATGGGTTTGTTTTTTGTAAAATAGTAATCTATATATATTGAGGTCTGATATCTGTCTTTTTTGTAAAATAGTAATCTATATATATTGAGTTCTGATATCTGTCTTATACAGGCAGTCCCCGAGTTACGCGGATCTGACTTATGTCGGATCCGCAGTTACGAACGGGGCCCGTCTCCCTGGTCTCCAGCAGACCAAGGAGAGGAAGCAAAGCGGCAGAGCACGCCCGCATGCTCTGTGGTTTTCCTCCCCGTCCCCCTGGTCTGCAGACCAGGGAGACGGGGAGCAAAGCAGAGCAAAGCCACGGAGCCCGAGGGCAGCAGGACAGCCACAGAGCATCTGGGCTGTCCCGCTGCCCCCGTGCTCCGCGGCTTGGCTACGGACGCCTGTGGTACAGCAGCTGGGGCGCTGCCAGTTGGTCCCGTAGCGCCGCTCTGGGCGCTACTGGACCAACCCGGCAGCACCCCAGCTGCTCTGTCTCAGGCGTCCTGATTCAGCCACTGCTGGTCAGTTTCAGCAGCGGCTGAATCTGGACGCCAGTTCTGACTTACACACAGATTCAACTTAAGAACCCCAGGCATCCCCAAGTCAGCTGCTGCTGAAACTGATCAGCGGCTGATTCCAGGAAGCCGGGAGCAGGGGCTTCCTGTAGTCAGCCACTGGTCAGTTTCAGCAGCAGCTGACTTGGGGATGCCTGGGGTTCTTAAGTTGAATCTGTGTGTAAGTCAGAACTGGCGTCCAGATTCAGCCGCTGTTGAAACTGATCAGTTTCAGCAGCTGCTGAATCTGGACGCCCGTTCCGACTTACATACAGATTCAACTTAAGAACAAACCTACAGTCCCTATCTTGTACGTAACCCGGGGACTGCCTGTATTATCCTGGATCTCTTCCATTGTCAAGTGATAAGAATGTTAACTTAGTAAGTTTCTGGATAGCTGGTTTGTTTGTTCATTTACAGAATGCTAAAGTGAGCTATAAGTTAATTTATGCACAGTTCTCTGCCTCTAGATTAATAATAAAATCTATATGAACAATAAGCAGCACAGAACATCTTATCTTGTTTGGACTTCTGAAGTGAAATTGTCCAAGGACTTGGTTACAGTGTTGATAGCTTTCAGTGGAATGTCTTTTGGCCAATGCTTTGCATTTGCTGCGTGTTAAAGGTAACTGATGCAAAATGATCATGTCCAGTTTTTAGATGTAGCCCTCCATCATTTTCTTAGAATATACACTGGAATCCTTTCAATTTATTATGCAGTGGAAGATGAGCATATTAGGAGATTTAACTAGAAGCAGTTATGATGCTTGCAAATCATTAAGAACTTGATTATCTTGTTTCCTAATTTGTACATACAGCAGTGGAAATGGATACCGATCTCTAGCATCAATATGTTCCTGAACATTCTAGCTGAGTTTCACACTTCAGAGTAACATGAAATTTGCTATGCATTTTGGAAATATTCAGTTTTCAAATGGCAAAGTAACTGTGCTCATATAACTGGAGCAGAAAAAAGATTTTGTGACCTAAAGTTTTTATAATGAAAATAGATAAGGATAATGTACACCAGGCATGTCAAACTCGAAGCCTACTGAGGGCTGAACAAATGAAAACTGATAGTTTTCAGGGCCACCAAAGAAAATGTACTTCTATTAGAAAGTTGTAATTATTTATTATTATAAGTTATGTTTTACGTATATTTTATAATATTTTCAGGTCTTGTTTGAATATAATACAATAATTTGATGAGTAAAATTGTTTTTGTTTGCATCTATGAAGACTTTGAGTTTAAGGTGCTTCATCCCCCCCTGCTCTAACCCAGTGACCTCCCCCTCCCATAGAGCCAGGCATCCCCAGCCTCCCTGCTCTAACCCAATCCCTACCCTCTCTCCCAGAGCCAGGCACCCTCAGTCCCACTGCTTTAACCCAGTCCCCTAACCCAATCCCCTCTTCTCCCCCAGAGCCAGGCACCTTCAGCCCCCCTCCCACCCTCTCTAACTTAATGCCTGATTCCTGGAGCTGCTGCCGCCACCCACTTCTTTCTCAAGATGCTGGAGTACATGCACAGATCAGCTAGCCATGAGCAGTCTGGGCGCATGGCTCAGAACCACCAGGAGCCACATTTCAAAGAGCTGCATGTGGCTCATGAGCCACAGGTTGGCCACCCAGTGTTATAAACAATGTAACTGGGTGGGCCACACTTAGATAATTTATAAAGATGTAGTCGTGGGCCGCAAAAAAAATTTGATTGGGCTGCATGCGGCATGTAGTCGTGGGCTGCAAAAAAATTTGATTGGGCTGCATGCGGTCCAAAGGCCGCATGTTTGACATGACTGATGTAGACCTATCTGTCTTGCTGGTTTCACTTCTCTTTTTGATATCTTGGTAGTTAATTGTCATTCTGTCTCTTAAAGAAGAGATGTATACAAACAAAATATGTTCTTACGTTTTTCTATTGCCTATTTATCACTACACCATCAAAGAGTGATCAGGTCACACTTACCTCATGATAACCTGTCAGCTCCTCATCTTTATATGTTTTTGTTGATTTTTTAAATATGCTGTTTTCCACTGGCTTTATTCTGCAGCAAAGAGGAAAAGAGAAAAGAAATTGAAACGGTGCTGCAAACAAGTTTTGTATGGCTCTACATGTGACCCTTCTGCTCGTGAGAGAGAGTCATTGATTTTTTCCATTTTTCGTTCTAAAGGGAATGAAAGCAGGAGTGAACAGAATGGAAAGGAACAAGCCAATCTCTCTACCACTACCATCGGCAATATGAGCCAGTGTGTGTCTGGAATACAAATTTCTATACATGCCCACTCCCACTTGGCAGTTCTGAAAAGAATGGGACATTTTGGACGGTCTAAAACTGCACATGACGTGCTCAAATAAGGTGTAAATGGGAGACTGATGTACTCAGGTGCAATTCAGATCAATGGGCAGCTCTGTCACCCCTGTCCTGCAACCTTAGATGCTTTATAAAATTTTGCTTAAGTAGCTCCCACCTGAGTTGCTCACAGAGTATCTTACAACATGCAAGTCAGTCAATTGGTCATACTTTGGCTCTCATCAGCATTAGTTATACTGCAGCTTGACCCTATCATATTCTCTGTTCTGGATTTTCTGCCAGAAATGTATGTCTTGCACTGCTTTGCCCTGGATAGTTCAAATATATTAAGTCTGTGATTCCTTTAAGGCAATAATGCATCACAACTTGCCATCTTAAATGGAGTTACCTCGACACTTTAACTTACATATACTGAACTACATAAAACAATATGAAAAAGTTTAACTGAGGGAATGAAATTAAGTGAGTACAAACAATGAGGCATGAAAGTCATAAATGGTTACAAGAAATCAAGATGAATACTTTCTAGTGCCTAACAGGCTTTTAAGATTTAATGCAAAGTTTCTCACCACATGCTTCCAACAGGATTACTGACCAGCCTTAGGTGTGAATACAGAGGTGTAGTCTTTCATAGAGAAACTTGGAAGGATAATTTGGGGCATAAGGGACCATTCAGAAAAACATTTTAGAGTTAGCAAGATCAATCTTATTTGTAATTCCATTGCATTGAGCAATAACAATAAATCTGATTTGGTTTCTTTAGATTATGAAGGGCTGCCTGAACTAGTCAGTAGAGTGAAAATCACTTTGACAGGTTACAGAAGATGACTGTTCAATGTACTTTATTGCTTGTAATTAATTTGCTTTTATGTACAATGAATTTGCCTTGTATGCTTCTACACGTAACACAACAAAAAAGCTATTTGACAGTCAACCATTTGATAGTACACATACACTTAAGGTTAAATGGTCCCAGTCAGTATACATTAGACAAGTATTTGTGAGTTTAATGGGACACTATCATCCTGAAAAATCACACTTGTCTGAAAATGTTGTAAGTATAATAGGTTCAAAGAACAGTCACTGTGTTTTGGCATGCATGCAAATAGGGATGTAAAAGTCTTAACTGGTTTAACCGATTACCTGGTAATTATTAGCCTTACTGGCATGTTTACCCAGTAACTGGCAGCCCTGTTGGAGCAGCCCCCAATCCACAGTGCAGTGGGACTGGTCTCCCCTGGCTAGTCTCCTGGCTAGAGCAGTCCCACATCCATAGTGTGGTGGGCCCAGCTGGAGTAGTGATCCCCCACCTACAGCATCCCCTCCCTCCTATGGCAGGATAGGGCAGCAGGATCCCAGCCTCGGAGGGCCCTGCCAGGAGAAGCCTCTGCCGCAAGATCCCAGCCCTCTGCGATTAACCAGCTAAACATATTTAACTGGTTAACTTTTTAAGTGTGTGTTTACATCCCTACATGCAAACAATAGGGGTTAAATGGCCAATGAGAGTGAAGGGATCTGGTTTTGTTTTCATGATGTGAATGTTTTAAAACAAGAAAAAAAAAGACTGCTGCCACTTCAGTGGACTTGTGCTAAAAGATAACTTTCATATTTGTTTATTGGAACTGCAATGTCAAAGCTTTTTTTCTCAATTAGTGACATTTATAAAATGTAAAATGAGCTTTTCTTCAAAAACAGAGATTTCAGCAGACTTTCCCTTTTCCCAGAAGAAAGCCACATTAGAGCCCTGCTATGGATGAAACTTATTTTTGTGAAAATGTGTTTGCACTGACTAAAATAAGAAATGACACTGTGATATTCAACCTTATGGTTGTCATTCCAGGATTGTCAAGTGACATGGAATTCAGAAAAGTCCCAGGGGCATGGAAATACTCTCCTTTGTTGTCAGGCAGGTATCCAGACTAACAGTAGATCTGATAATACACCTTGATTTGTTTAGAATGGGTTTGTCAAGCGGAGCTTGCAGAAAAATGGAAAAAATTGAAACAATCTATAATGGTAAAGTAATATATTAAAATGTACCTCACACATTTGGATAATAGGATTGTACTATGAGTGAAAGAGAGTGATGAAAAGGTGAACAGGCTGTCACATACATATTGTATCCTGTTTTGTATATGCTTTGTTACTCTCTCTAATTAAATATACTATTAAAAATTCATGTCCATATTTGGACCCTGCTAAAAACTTTCTACAGTAAAGCAAAATAAGAATGAAGTAACTGATTAAATGTTTGCTTTTGATATTTTATACTTTTCAGTCTATACATACCTATACAGGCAGTCCCCGGGTTACGTACAAAATAGGGACTGTAGATTTGTTCTTAAGTTGAATCTGTATGTAAGTCGGAACTGGTGTCAGCTGCTGCTGAAACTGATCAGTTTCAACCGCGGCTGAATCTGGATGCCAGTTCTGACTTACATACAGATTCAACTTAAGAAACCCAGGCGTCCCCAACTAAGCTGCTGCTGCAAAT